GAGATCAAATATATTATATAAAATAGAAGACTCCCATTTTCTGCTGCCAAGACATGAAAGGAATGTTAAGGTGCTATCTAGAGGACACCCAGCCAGCAAAATGCTGCAATTGAGAATATTTTACAGTACATAAACTTAGTAAATACTGCTAAAAATCCAGAAAGAGCAGGGATGAAAAAATCCACCAATTTATGGCTTAACTTTTTGCTTTTACTTTGTGGTCATGGGTAATCATTTGATTATTTGAAGGAAAGAATTTTTTTAAATTAAAACTGCTAGGACCTATTTCAAAGAAACAGTGTTATATAATATTGAAACGGAATGTTCCCCCTCTTGTATCACAGCAGGTTTCTGGAGTTATGGTCATGTTTTTCTTTTCTAGATATCTGGAATGAAGAACTAGTATTTGACTAAAAATAATCTGTGACTTTACAAGATTAAGTACAAATAAACTTGAGATTTGTGATTTTGATAGGGATAAACTCCCAACTTGTTTTAAAATTTATTTATTTATTTTTATTTATTTTTTTTGGGGGGGTATCCGGTCATGGGGCCTGAACTCTGGGCTTGGGTGCTGTCCCTCAGCTCTTTAGCTCAAGGCTAGTGCTCTACCACTTGAGCCACAGCGCCACTTCCAGCTTTTTTTCTTTTAGCTTATGTGGTGCTGAGGAATCAAACCCAGGGCCTGGCATGCAAGGCAAGCGCTCTACCACTGAGCCACCTTCCCAGCCCCTTAAAATTTATTTTTTATTGAGTTGTATTCATTGTACAATATTCATGTGTACACCCAACATGTACAGATCAAATTCAACGCCCTAATTCAGACCCCCAAACCTTCAGTCTAAACCTTCAACTTTATGTTTCCTCAATTTTCTGTTTTTCTAAAATATGCTTAAAGTTTTTCAAGAAATATTTAAGACAGAACAGATACTTGGATATTCTTTAAGTTGGCCTATTTAATCAGCAAGTTAAATCTCTCCTTTATCTTCGTTTTATTTCTTTACTTTGATTTAGACACAGTATTAATTTTATATTTTGCTTGGCTTCTTGTTATATTTTCTTCTATTAAGATAACTGCCAGGCATTGTAATATATATTACACATCCTCAGTCATTGCCAGTCTTTGAGAAGTTTCCTTATATATGCAAATATAAAAGAATTACAGTGGAAGAACCACCCCCACCCCAACTTAACATAGGTTTTTCTTTAATGTTTTTTTCCAGATGTCTGTTTTTCTAGAAGATGCTTAATTGTCTCAAAACATATTTTGAGATAAAGCCATATACCTGATTATTGATATTTCTTTGGTTTTAATGAGCAGTTGAACGTTCCAGAAAGATAATCTTGACCATATTCCTGATCGATAAATTGTGGAAAGAAAAGACCTTCATTAATTTGCATCTTAAGGTTAGAGTCCTGACTAACAAAAATGTAGTGATATACTTAATTACCTCAGAAGAAATAGAATGGGGAAGCATTTCTCATATGAGGGAGATAATTTGAACTCAACAGAACAGATACTTAAGAGGAAATAATTGCTACCCATTTCTACTTAAATCTTGAATATATCAGAATCTTGAATACATTAGGTAGGAATTTATTGTGATAATAATTTATTGAAATATTTTTTCCACAATAGAGGATATGTTGGACTAAATCTATTCCCTGGTTTGCTCCTCATCAGAGGCTGATAGTCTAGATAAAAACTGTTATAATTTGAGAAGGAAAGGGTATTACATAAATATAAATAAAATATTTCCTTTCTTCCATTATTTGACATTAGAAATTTAAAGGAAGCATTGGATCCATTTATTTATTCAGTCACTTATTTACTTATTTAATCCATTTATAACATAGTATCACTAGTAGGTCTGTAAATCTCATAATAGTACATTTATACTATAATGGTTATAAAGCTCATTGTCTGCAAAGTTGTAATTCACTCTAGGTAGAAGATCTTATTCATATCCTTGAAAGTTTGTAAAAACCTTTATCTCAAGGACTTATGATGGGTTGGGGCTCAGAATCCTTCCCAATCTTCCAAAAAAGCCACTGTTACTCTGGAATCTTTATGTGATCCTGTCTCAAAGTTTTATTGATGTAAACAATTTAATATTGTTATCTAGTTGTGCCTTTATATAAAAGCCCTTCCTCAAATTTGGCATTAATATTTAAAATAGTTTGACATAAATTATTCCCTAGAATCAGTAGGTGGTAATATGGAACTAGAGATAGACATATTTTAACTCATAGGTTGCCTATTTTAACTCACAGTATATCTTCATTAAAAAATATTTGGAATATTATCTAACAGGTACAGCCATCTGTAAACTTGACAGTGGTCTTTATTTTAATAATATGACCTCACTTCAAGGTTACTTGAGTTCATCATTTATGTTGTCTAGATCTGTCATTTTTTTCCTAGATTCTCCTTATATCCAAATAGCCCATGAATCTTTAATCATACTCAAACATTCTCACCTATTGAGTTGAAAAGACTATGAACCACTTAATTTTACCCAATGTAAAAAAACTGGTCTTGGGTTTTCATCTTCAAGGATATAAAATAAGGAATGTGCTCACATGCCTACTGGTAACAGACTGTAAAGATTTTATGAGGTACCTTTAAAAATATGTAGCATCATTGATAAAAATTAATAAAGCTCTTAACTTAGCTGCATAACAAGCCTTATTTCTGGGATACATATTGCAAAATTATAACTAGTAAGAAGCACAAATGAATAATTTTTCCCACTTGTTGACTTGCTCTGAAGTTTTCATTGTTCCTAAAAAGGCTTCATCATTTCCTATGGACATAAGACACAGGGTTCAATTTAGAAGGAAGGTCTCACAGCTACTACTGCTATACTCATTTTCTAAAAACAATGATGATAATCACAAGAATTAAAAACAACCAACATAAAATACAGAAGTGAACTGCTCTTTATGAACCTTTAAAAATCATCATTGGGAAAGAAATTTCAACTTTATCACAGTTTGTTTGTTTTGAATGTTTCTATCTATCATTACTCAATGCATTATTTTTATATACTAATGTCATTGATTAGACAATTTGAGGAGTATCATCAGATGATATTTAGATGCTGTAGAATAATGGTAGTATTAGTAGAAAATGGAAGAGGGGTTAACATGAAGATTATTCTTTTTAGCTATTAAAACCTATATTTTAATACTCTCCTGTCACAAAAGAATTGAGTTGTTTGTTATTATCTCAAATAGAAGTAGATATGTGGAGTAGGTACTGTCCTGTCTTTTAAAATAGCAAATCTGCTCTACATTTTAAAGTAAAGACTAAGCTATTTCAGTATCTAATGCTTAAAAATTATCAGATTAGTAAACTCCCCAAATCATAGTAGCTCAGATATTTCTTTCAGATTATTTAAATTATACTAAAAAGGTCAATAATTTATTAGAACAACACCCAGAGTTTATACTTAATAAAAATTAAAGGTTCTCTGTGTTAGAAGAACAACCTGGTACAGGATTAGGTAAGAGAAAGTAAACCAACTCCTGATAGTATTTTTAAATGGATCTATTTTTCCAAGTTCTTTTGCATAGTTGTCTTTATTTCTTAAGTGAGGAAATTTTAAAGAACATGAAAGCAAATTATCCCCCTTTCATCCTCATGCTTCAATAATATGTTACATGCAAAATATTTTCAAATGATTTTGCCATAAGAAACTTATTTTATTTTTTACTAATTTTTGAATTTTTTCTACTAAATCATTGCAAAGACTGTGAACCTTCTAACAGTAGTATTAGTCTGAACTTTTCTAACCATGCATGATTCACTGGACCCCACAGTAGCTGGAGCTTGCTTGCCTTGGTTTTTCCCTGAAATTACAAAGCAAAAGTGTGTAAAAGCACATTGAACATCTGCTCTACATAACAGGACAGCAGAACAACTTCAAGTCCTAATAAATTGTTAACCTTTTCCTGTTGCACCTGCGAATTTTGGAGATACATACATTTGACTTCTCAGAACTTTTTCTGTTGAATGTGCACTGTTGTTAAACTACTTGTTTTTTCCCTGCTTGCTCTTTGAAGAAGTCAATTAGGAATAATGGGAAACAAGGGGTAGGCAAAACATTGCAGTGCAGTGTTCTTTCCACCTGTCTGGGAATATTTCAGCCAAAGTTTACTCTGAGGTATAGAAGACTGTAACACATTCATACACAGAAACCACAAAGACTTTGGCTGCAAATTATTCTCCAGTGTTGTTGCTTACCGTTGCTTGTGTCTGTTCTCGTGTGTAAAGCTGCCATCTATCTATGCATGTGTTTGCAGATTCTTGTCTATGTGCTTGTTCATGAATTAGCTCATCCTCCTCATGGTTTAAAGATTAAACATATCCAAGAAAACAAGAATTTATGGGTATGACTGTTGGCCAGAAAGCCATTCGTTACTTAGGAGCCTTCCTTTTTAATTCTATCTGCTGCTGAAAGTTCTAAAAGATTAAGTACTCAACAGTCAGTCAGCCAGCTGCTTACATGTTACCTGGCTGCAAATACACCATGACAGAACTTGGAAAACAGTTTTAATATTATGTAGTTTCAGTTCTTTGCACTGGAAATGGAAGGATTTGATCTGTTCAGGCCTTCATTGTAAGGAGTTGTCCTGTCTTAATACTCACTGCTTGCCAAATGTGCAAGAAGAAAGATTTTGTGAACTAACCTCCCTTCCCATTAGTCCCCCTGCTATTGATAGAAAGAAAAGCCAAAAGTAACAATATTTTATGGAAGAAAACAATAATAAAAGGAGCTTACCACAAGAAATTGTAATATATACTTTCAAGTCCATTTTCTAAAGTAGTGAAAATGTATGATTTTTTTCTCAATTTTGCCTTCTTACTGACAGAACACCCATAATTTTTGTTGGTTATTTCTCTCCAAAGTTTATTTCTGGGCCATTGGTGACTGCACTAACTATTGTTCTAAATCATTGTCTTAACTGAATTCTTTAAAAATGTAATGTTGAAGGCTCATAATATTGAAGATGACTCCAGAATGAACCCTGAGTTTGCAGACCGACTAAAACAGCTTGATAAAGAAGCATCTTACTACCGTGATGAGTGTGGCAAGGCTCAGGCAGAAGTAGACCGGTTACTGGAGATCCTCAAGGAGGTGGAGAATGAAAAGAATGACAAGGACAAAAAGATCGCGGAACTTGAGAGGTAGGTTTTTCAGTGATGTGAATTGTCAGTGGTGAGTGAACCATGATGATTTGGTTGCACATTTCAAGTTGCTTAGATTTGGGATTCACAGTTGCACATTCATACTACAAGTTGGAAACAGGTTACGTATGAAAAATATAGCCTGGTAAGGAATGCTGTTACATGTTTGTGGGACACTAGGAAGTTAATGGGCTTATGCATTGAAGTATTATGTACTTCTTCAGTGTTTATGACATTGTGGCTGAGTTTCTTGAGTGAGGTAGTTCTTGTGCAAACTAAGTATGCAAAGAAATGGCTCTCTGACTACCTGGAACCTCAGTTAGAGATGAACTTTTGTGGCTTAGGCTTGTCATAAGCAAAATAGTATGGGAGAATATAGTTGGGGGTTCTTTAAGCTAAGGAAAGAGGGAGAAAATTCTTATCTTTTGGAGTCTTTTGGCTCACCATAATCAGTTTCTCCTTGGGATTTATTGTTTATGATGATCATATAGCGCTTGGAAAACAAATGGAAATAAAAATGCTTGAATAGGGCCTACATGATAGCTAATTCTGTCTAAAACAAGGAGGGTTGTATTAATGTTCCAGGGTATTTAGATTTTCAAATAAACCCTGCTCATATTAATATTCATGTATATCACAGTCTCTAAAAATAAGCTTACTATCAATGCTTTTGCCTATACTTCATATAAATGAAAATTTTCTGAATAATCTTACGTAACTTTGTAACCTCTGAGGATTTCTCATTGGTTCAGCAATAAGGTAGAATTTGTCTGTCCTAGATTCAGTCCATATGGGAAACATCAGCAAATTCTGAATAAATCAGAGAGTGTTTGCCAGGTCTGATTTGAGATACTGCGAGGCAAGATAAATGCAGAATAATTCTTGGTCTTACAGAAAGATAATAGAGTTTCGTGAAAGAAAGATTTGGGTTCAGATTTTAAATCTGCTTTATGCTAGCTCTGTGAGTTTTGTATACACCTTCACTTCTAGCTTTTTGATGATAATTAGAGATAAGAAACTCACAGACTTTTCTGCCTGGGTGGGCTTTGAACAACAGTTCTCAGATCTCAGCCTCCTAAGCAGCTAGAGTTACATATGTTAGGGACGGGTGCTTAGATCATTTTAATTTTAAAATTTGAGAATGTTCTGCCAGTTCTAAAAGGGCTGGGATAGCGTTGGTTTTAAATATAGCTGTATATTGGGCTGGCATGTAGCTCAGTGGCAAAGCGCTTGCCTAGCAAGTGCAACATCCTGGGTTCCATCTTCAGTACCAAAAAAGAAAAGACAAAAAAATATAGTTAAAAAAACCCAAACTAATAAATATAGCTATATATACGGCTTTGTTTGAATTACATTAAGACCACAATATTTTGTTTTGTAAAAAGCTAACATGGGATCACAGGGAAGATATGACCACGTCTTTTTTATTGGTTAGAAAATTGACCTTGAACAGTTGAAGGGCTTTCTACAGATTGATCCTATGGTCAGACAAACGAAAAACTATAATGTGAATTTGTCGACTCCTACTCTGCTCTGAGAAACAGGGCGTCCTATGACAGATATTCTAGATAATAATACCAGTAATATTAATTATAACCAATTACTTATATAATTAATATACTATAATTATGATCACAGTAATAAATACTGTGTGCCAGATACTTTGTTAAGCACCTGCTCTGCAAAAATGAATACAATTTAATCTTCTACCCAACATAGAAATTGTCAGATTCTCATTTTATATAGGAATTATATGAATATCTGTAGCTTTTTTAAGTTTCTAGAGCTCATAAGAAACAAAGATGGACTTTAAACCTAGGACTGACAGAGAATCTATTGACAACAATCCCTTTGGCCAAAGGACCAGTAACAATGGATAATCATGCAGCCAGTTGAGAGTGGTCCTTGAGCAGGCCCGGCAACCTGGCCACATGAGATGGGCTTCTTTATTAGCTTTCATGAGGGAAAGTGATTACTCCATGTTTAGCAGGCATTTTTTCTGCACTAAAAGAGCTCACCAAAACTGTAATTGAAAATCAGGATCAACTACTATAAACATTTACATATGAATAGCTTAATTATCTACTTGGACAAACAAGTCTTAGCTGGGCGCTGTTGCCATTAAATCATCAAGAATATTCACAGTTTTATTTCTTCAATATGGAATGCATTAAAGCAGCAGTGATTTTACAGGCATTTATCTTTATGTACTTTCTGCACATTTTCTTTATCTCTACGTTTGCCTCTCCTTAAAGCTGATGCCTCCCGGCACTGTAATTCATAAAATGTGTGCTGAGATTTGACTCGCTCCCAGGTCTCTGCCTGCCTGTTTCTTGGGTCCAGCAGCAGAATGTAGTCTGGGAAATGTCTGAGTCCTGGGCCTTGGGAAGTGGGGGTGGAGTTCCAGAGGGGCAGTATCTTGGGAAAAGGAGGGCTTGGCCTTGGCCTAAAGCACTGTCTACTGGGCTACCTGTGTATTCTGACCAAAACATCTTCCTCCAGCTCCCAGGCAGCCTCTTTCACATTGGGAAGTATCTCCATTTGTTGACTTAAACTATACAATTCATACCTCATCATGTTGAAGATTTCTTAGCATTATGACATATATCTCCATTTTGGAGTCACAGAGAGTGCTTGCAATTAAGTTTGTGCTTTTCAAAACCAAAATATTGAACTTGAAATGAATTTGTGGTCTCTGGCTTGTAATGTGACCTACCAGAGTGAAAATGCCTCTTTTGAAGCGGCTTTTATTCAAAAATATGCCAGAACGTCAGGCTTACACAACAGGTCAAGTTAGAAATAACTTGGATGCCCCAAACACTGGCCTGCTTCTCTCTCAGAAGGCAATTTGTGTTTGCTTTTTGTCCTATTCGTCCTTACCCTTAAAAAATTCTTTCCTCAATGGATATATTCCAAATAGTATGTGGCTGGCATTCCAAAGGGGATGATTTTTTTTTAAATCAGCTATTAGAGAGTTTGCTTTTTAAGCTAGAGTAGTTTGCTCTAGAGTAGTTATCATGCACACGCTTGCCCAGGAACTATTGCATATGATGCTTAAGGCCCAGCTGACAGCATCTGCCTAGAATTATAGGCTGCTATGGAAGAATTGGCCACACAGATGGTGGTGGGTCTTGAGTGTGTCCCGGAGAGTTGATCAAAATCAGCCTGAAGTCTTTATTCTATCACTGATGCCACAAAGAGCTAACTAAACCTTTGAGACAGTAAACTATGTGGCACCTCGGGGTTGGTGCCCATTTCAGAAGTAACCTTTTGGTGGTTAGGGAAAGAGAGAGTTAATTAGAGTGTCAAGCAAGACTTGCTGGTACTGGATATTCTGCATCACACCCATGGAAAGGACTCAATCAGGTGACCTTTTGAATAATTATCTTGATTTTGTTGGAGTTTTGCTGATTTTTTTTTTTTTTTGCTGGTCATGGGGCCTGCACTCTGGGCCTGGGCACTGTCCCTCAGCTCTTCAGCTCAAGGCTAGTGCTCTACCACTTGAGCCACAGCACCACTTCCAGCTTTTTCTGCTTATGTGGTGCTGAGGAATTGAACCTAGGGCTTCATGCATGCACTATTTAATTATCTGAACCAAATATTAATGCTACCAAACACTGAGCATTAAAAATTGATTTTAGGTGCTTAACAGAACCTGTCTAAGGTTGAAACAAAAATTATTTCTTTCCTTCTGATTTGCTTACCAATGTGCTGACATAATTTCCTTAATGCCTTTCAGAACTCTATTTTAAAAGTAACTTAGGCTTTGTTATTATTTCTAAAATATGATAATATGTGCTAGAAGTTTCACTGCATAGAAGATAGTTGATAGAAATTTTGTTTTGTTTCGATATATACTCCTCTCTGAGTAATTTCCACTTATGTTTACAAATGTATTTGGAAAAAGCTTCTTTAAAATGAGTGGCTGATATGCCACTACATTTTCTGAAAGGTCAGTGATCTCATGGATGTCTTTGATGAAACCTGAAAACCTTTGGAAAGGCAATTACACCTTAAATGTGTGCTTGCAACTTGATTTTTTTTCAAGTTCCTAAAGCTTGGTCCCAGCATGCAACCTAAATACCTCTGATCTAAGGGGCTTTGACAGAGACCCTGGGGCCTCCATGATGACCAGGACCTGACTTGATTCTCATTTTTATTAGTTATACATTTATGATCACAAAATGCTCTTCAGGAAGTTAACAGTATAAAGGATTATCCAGACAGCACTGTTAACATGTTTTTAATCTTGAATTGCCTTCATTTCTAGTTTTCTTTTAAAAAATTATTTTAGTCAACATTATTTTCATTTGAAATTACCTAACTTAGGCTTTATGCTAAAGGTTTATTTTTTGGCATTCCTTCCTCTGGGACATGCTTAAAAGGACTTCTTCATGGTGTGATGCTGTGCGGTCCCAATGACCAATGAGCTTCTGAGGTATTGGTATCTGCATTGCTTTTCCAATGGGTATTTTAGAACTTAAAATGAATGTGTACCTTGTGCCACTGTGGTGACCTGGAAGATAACCAGGATTTTTTATTTTTGCTTGTCACTGGAGACTACTGTTTTTACTTATTAAAAGAGCATGCTAGAACTACTTGTGCAAATCAGTTAACAAGCATCTGGACATTCTCAGTGATGAAGTTGGAAACTCATCACAATTGAAAAGAATTTTTGTCTATTTAGGACTACTCTTTACCTGCTTGGGAGGCTGAGAGGCAAGTGGCACCCTACCCCTGGGGTCTTTGATCACTGATAGGTACAGCTCTGGAAGTGTCTAAGATGGAAATCTTTGAACCAAAAGCCAAATCTCAGCTCCTTTTCATTTTCATGGATGGATAAAGGAACAATATCTCATGGGATATAACAATCCAACTTACTGTTTCAAATAAAAATCTTTGTGACATCAATGCTTACTGCCAGGTCTAATACCTCAGTAATTTCCATCTGAGTTTATTAAATAATAAAACTTTATATGCACACAGATAGGGACTTTCTCTATAAATATTACTTTGGAAAAGGGCAACTGTTGCCCTTGGACTGCTCCTATCTCTGGTTCACATCAGTGCTTGCTGTGATTGCATGAGAGCAGATACAGGTTTCCTTGTGTATGATATTTAATGTAACAGCTTACAGAGGGTGCCCAGGACATTTTTTTTTGGGGGGGTGGGTAATATCAGATAAAAGTTGCTTTATTGTGCTTCATTTGGTTATAAAACCTGCTAAAACAACATCTGTTAGCTGTATGTTTAAAACTAATGCATTTCCTTCCTTTTATTCTCTTTTGCTATCCCTTTTCCTTTCTGCTTATCCTCCAAATTGCTGCTTTCACCCCTGCTCCAATCAGCTTGACTCTCAGGTCAGTACTTTCAGTTTTTCTTCTAATGCCTCTTCCGCCTAAGCTCAATTTATTGCCTGCACTTGTTTAACAACACATTTCTGAAATGGTTTTCCTCTGGCCACCATTTTTTTTCTCCTCCATTTCATTCCATGCACAAGAAAAGTTTATTTTATGAGAAGCCTTGTATAGGTGGGAAAACGCAAAGAAGACGAAGGAAATAAATCATTGTAGGATTATTTGATAAATTCTATTGCTGGGTGATAAAATCAAAGAAATCATCACAACCAATCCCAGCATTTCTGCTGAGCGGCTCAGAGAATTGACTGCATGTTGATACAATGTGGAGCTGTGGAAAAAAAACACACACAAGATGCTAAATTTAACCTAGCAGAACAAAAGATCTCCCTGTGACACTGCAACTTAAAAGCTAAATTTAATGGAGCAAACCATTCAGACTTTTCTCTTAATAAATCACTGTGCTTTTGAAAGATTTATAATACTTTTTTAAAGTCACTTTTGGAAAATTATCAGTGTGTTAGTAACATATTGTACACATATGTTATTTCCTGTCATTGTTTTGGTTTTTACTTTTTAGTTTCATTTTTTGTTAGCCAGACACATACTTTCATTACCTAGGGTATAGCATATGGGACTAAGTATAAAACTAGATTTCATGGTTGAAGTGTGCACCCTAATTTTAAGAAGAGAAATGGACATTTTGTTTGAAAATCCATCCTAGAACTGATTCTTCTAATATAGGAACTCAAAATCAGTCATTTCCTTTTCCTTGAGTCCAGCAAGACAGCTCTTCCAACAATATATAATAATAGATAGTGATTTTTTATTGTTCAAATAGGTAATTTACTGAAAATGCTAAATTCATAGTTAATATTAGTTATTGAGCTAAGACAAGAGATAAACCAAATTATTTACAATTATTTACTCCTTTTTGCGCAGTCCTGTCCCCCATGCCACCAGCACAGTGCATTTACTCCAGCAGCAACTAATTTCACAGCCAGGCCTCCTGTTCATATACCAATTTTGTCTCACCACTGGCTGCAAGCCAACCAAAGGAAGTCTCATTCTCAAAAGTTTCTCTCTCACCAGAAATCTACAGACTGCAAATGGACCAAATCAGGATGCCTCTGTGCAGAAATGTAGACTTCATAATGGGAGGTGGGCAGGAGGCTTGGCCACAAGGCATTCAAACCTGTCCTCCAAGGTTTGGATCCACTCACTAATGAAGCTTTAAGCTTTTCTCCCTGGCTGTCTTTTTGTTTTCTTTTTCCTTTTTCCTTTCTTTTGCTTCCCCTAATCTATATGGTTGCCTTTCCTACCAGGAATCCCTTTGGCTTGAGAACTTCAGCCTTCTGCTTACTTGTCCAGTTTTTTACCCTATTTGTATATACCAGTAAGTGTCAATTGTCCTTAGTTTTTGCCTCATTCATGGTGAATGAACATGAGCTCTGTATTTCCAAAAGACAGGGTGAAATGTTATGGCCAGTAAAGCTTTGAGGTAGCTAGTGGTCCTCTGGATAAAAGTTAGGGTATGTTGATGTACTTGTAAGATGTACTTGCCAGTTGGACAAACTGGCAAGGGTTAAATCAAAGTTCAGATAATTCTACTATCATTTAACTTATTGCGTCTGATGAATGTGATGGAGAAATTGAGGAATCATTGTGAACAATCTCTGGTTGTGTCTTTAGTGTAGGAGGAACTGGGTAGCCCTACCCTCACGGAGACAAACGGTCTGTAGAATGTTGGAAGCTTTCTTGAGCTGTGACAGATTTCCAGAGTTAACAATGCTTTTGTCTTTTTATCCCCAACTACTTCCAGGTTTACTAGTTAAAATATAATGAAATGTAACAATTGAATGAGAATCATTAGCAGCCTTTGTATGGTTATGTATGTATATGTGTGTGAGTAATCATATATATATATATGTTTATAGTAACTGGGTATATATACACAAACCATGGATTTTAGAAAAATCACGTCTAATCTTTCTTATCCTAGAAGTTTGTGGTCTTCCCTGCCTATTCCTAACTCCCAGTCTGAAGTTTGACAACTTCACTAACTCCGGGCTTTTCTATGAGCTCTGTACTGCATGAGAATATCTCTCCTCCAGCTGCCTTTTTTAGATGACCTCATTTCCTTTTCAGCCACTATGTAGATTCTTTTGCTTAAATTCAGGTGGAGAGGTATTAAAGATTAGGTTTGGCAAAATGTGGATGTCAAATTTTAAACCTGCTCAAGTCTTTACTCCAGTAAACTCCTTTTCTATCAAAAATCTCCTTTCCCACAAAGCAGCAGGAAGCTGGAGAAGTTTAAAGTGATCCCTGAATTGTACTGAGGAAGAGGGTTTATATGAAATTTGCTCATTTTTGGCATGTGACTTATGACAGATAAGGTTATCTCAATAAACACATGCAGCAGTTGACTAAAAAAAAAAAGAGAAATATGTTTTTGGATTCAGTTCAAAATCCTGCCAAAGAATCAGTCAAGTAAAACCAGAAGGTGAAGTTTCTCACAGCCTCTAGCTTACTTTGAATCCCCTGTGTTAGCCACTTCTCTTTTGGGCCTTAGTTTTCTCTGTGGAGAGGAGGGAACCATCTTTGGAGTGAGTCATCTGGGATTTGCTGTGCAGGTGGGCATCACATGTCCAGTGAAGGGACTGTTAGTGATGGACCCTGTGTATCTCCTGCAAACAGGCTTCAGCTGATGACTGGTGCCCAGCAGCAGGCGTGAGCTCATTGTTACAGGCACCTCAAACACTCATACAAAAATAAACTCTTTGTGATGTTTCCTCAAAGATGCATACTGTGCTCTCAACCTCTCATTCTTCTCACAAAAGATGACTTCATTGCTTCCAGAGTCAGAGGCTTCTTGCCCAAAGACATAATGAAAAGTACCTTGCCCCTTCAGCCTGACTGTCCTGCACTTGGCTGGGGCCAACTCTTTGCACCATTTCCTCTTTGTGTTTTTTAACTTAAAAAGTTACCTTTAAGTAGTTTTACAAAGGAGTTGTGATTTAACAAAGCTGTTTTTGAATACAACATATCTTGATCAGTGTCACCCCTTTCAACATTCTCACCCATCCCTTCCAACCTGTTCCTTCCCCTACTTTTCTTATTTTTTTCTATTTATTTGTTTAATTTTACTGTCAAGGTGATGTACAGATTTATTTATTTACTTTGTACATTTTTATTATAAAAATGCTGTACAGAGGGGTTACAGTTACATGAGCAAGGTAATGAGTATATTTCCTCTTGAGCATTGTTGCCTCCTCCTTTGTTTTTCCCCTACCATCCCTTCCCTCCCACCTCCACACCTATTTACCCCCCACCCCCTCTACTCCCCCATCCCCTGTTGAAGATGTAAAGTTTGTTTTCAACATAGTGTTTTGTACATCTCCTTGTTACAATGGGTCTACCTGTATCCTTATTTAAGCATGATTATTCCCTTCCCCTCCCCAAATTAGAGAAGTGTAGATACAAGATGACGACTGCCCGATAAATAAGTGGACTAAAGACTTAAAGAGAAACTTCTCTGAAGAGGAAATAAGAATGGCCAATAGGCACATGAAGAAATGCGCAACCTCTCTAGCCATAAAAGAAATGCAAATCAAAACAACATTGAGATACCACCTCACCCCAGTTAAAATGGCAAAGATCAAGAACTCTAATAAAAACAGATGCTGGAGGGGACGTGGACAGAAAGGAACCTTACTGCATTGTTGGTGGGAGTGTAAACTTGTTCAACCACTTTGGAAAGCAATGTGGAAGTTCCTCAAAAGACTACTTTTCTTAATTTTGTAGGTTATACACTGAATTCATGATATATTCCCTGCCTTCTCCTCTTCATTTGTCTACCCCTCTCCCTGTGACCCCACCTCTTCCCACCCCTTTCAAGTATCTGATTCTTGGTGTTTATTTTGTTGAACTTTGCCTTTACCTTTTAGGAATAGGCAGGGAAGACCACAAACTTCTAGGATAAGAAAGATCAGATGTGATTTTTCTACACTATTTAAGTTGTTCCTTGAATCTACCATTTCTGTTAATACATTTGTATGCACTCGCCTACTACCTAATAAATTTACTTATACGTTTCTAAGCTAATTCTTACTTCTACATTTGAGGGAAGACATGCAACCTTTGTGTCTGTGGGCCTGACTCACTTCACTTCATTTTTTCCAGGTCTGCCCATATCTTTAGAAATGATACAGTATGATGTGAAATTCCACATTTTCCATTTTTGCTTGATCCATTTGTCCATTAAGAAGTATCTAGGTGATTCTATACTTTGGCTATGGTTAATAGTGCTACAATAAAAATGGTTGTGTTGGTAGCTTTATTGAATCCTGACTTGTAATGTTTTGGATAATTGCCCAGAAGTGTGCCACGGACCGGGTTCTCTCGACGGAGGACACCTAGGGGAGGAACCTGGAATAGGATGGGGAGATGGCAAACAGACAATTCACACACATTAGGAGTGGATGCTGAGTGCTGAGTGCGATTTAATGCAGAGGATAGCAAACTTTTATAACCGAAGTCTCCATAAGAAAGGGCAAAAGGTTACATAATCTTGCTGCAGGGCTTCATTCTTGGGCGGTCACCAGCTGGTCGCCTGAAAGGGCAAAAGGTTACACAACCTTGCTGCAGGGCTTCATTCTTGGGTGGTCACCAGCTGGTCGCCTGATAGGCACTTGTTTCCGGCTTATCTCTAAGAAATATCATGGGTTTTGATGTTTGTCACCAACTAACCATTACCTTATTTCTATAGAGGCCTTAACTGTCCCATAAGATCTTTCCTTCCAGTTCCTTCTTTAATAATAAGCACCAAGGAGACTTAGATCTAGCAAGTCTCTTAGTAAATGAGAGAGTAGTAGGAAGTTTTTTCTCCTAAGTAGTTATCTCAGTAATTGCCATACATTCTTTCTGTTCTAGTTGCCCTACAGCTTCTTGTAAATTTCTTACAAACAATTCCTTCTGCTGAAGTGACTTCGTGAAACCCCCAA